TATATATACATATATACACCTATGGCTCTCCTATGCAGGCCGAAACGCTATCAAATCGTCTGGATTTGAATTTTTCGCTTTTCAACGAATCGGAAAACCCTGCAACACAAGTGTATAATGCCCCGCGGGCAATGCGTCGAAATAATAATATCTTCTAGTTCCAGGACGGACAGTTGTTTTTTTTCCTCCTCCGGAATTGATTAATACCTGCTGCAGTCGTACGAAATTCCCATGTGTGTGATGCAATACAACAAATAGTAAATACATACGTACGTACATACATATATACATGAGCTTCACTGCGTGTGTGGGTTGGTCCACACACACACACACACACACACACACACACACACACACACACACACACACACACACACACACACACACGCACACACACGCACACAGTATACATGCACATGGGTATACCGTATACACGTACAATTAACCGCCGTGTTGGACGGGAAAATAACGTTTGTAGGCAAAACCGAGCAAACGTCCCGCCGCCGCCATGTATACATGTATATAAACACTGCACAACACAGGGCACTGGATCAATACGAGGCCCAAAAGTTCACGGAGCGACCCCCAACTAGCGCTCTCTAAACCTATATATACAAGCGTACCGTTTTGTGTTACAGACCAGTGTGAATTTCTCGTAAATTTTTTTCAGTTTTTTTTTCTGTTTTTTCCCGCAGGTTTTTAACCTAGAAAACACTAAATTGAACGACTCATCTACGATATCATACTTGTACGTTAAGCCATTTCAATTGGATTTTTTTTTTGATTCTCGCCGATCCAAAAACCTTTGAAAATATAATACACTATTCCTCATAAAATATTCACGTGTCGAATAAAAAACAACGAAAATACATGATCACAATTTATTTTTTTAATTTTATATCGTTATGCTGGGTTCCTTGTAATAGTTGTAATTACTGGATTTAAAAACACATTTTGACCACAATTCCCATTTTTTTTTGTATGAAATTCAAATTTTTAGAAAGTTGGATGTTTACTCATAAAATAACAATTTCTCATGAAACTATTATCTTATTTCGTTATAATTCAAAAACGAATAATAACATTAGATACTTGCAAATTTTGCTAAATGTTCATACTTACATTTTCCACACATTATGACATTTTAAAAATATTTTGAATCTTTTTATACTTTTACATTTGACATTTTTTTATTGTATAGGTAAATATTAAATATCGATGTAAACAATTTTGCTTGGTGAAAAGTTTGAAAATTTGATACAAAGTTTCTCATAAGTATCAAGTAGCTCATACTGAAATTAAAAAATCTAAAAATACGAACATTTTTTTTAAAAATGTAATATCCAAACGAAGAATTCACGATTTTAATTGATATTTTATTGTAATTCAAAATCATTTTTCGTGAAATTTTTACTTATTGCATTTTACATATACAATAACA